TACGCTGTAGTCGGTTTATACGCAGCGCACTTACTTTCACAGGAACGTGCCTGGTGATTTAAGTATCCGCCGTTAATAAGGACAGCTACTACGTTGGAATAAGCGTGTCCGATGCGATTTTTAACTGTTATTAATTTCACGGGAGTTCCCTTGGGCCGGATTTAGCTGTTGGATGCATTGACGAAAAATGACTTGCCCCTTTTAGACGAATTTGCATTCGAATCAAGTTAAAGCTTTATAAGATGTATGAATAATTTTATATGAAATCGCTCTTGTAATATGTATACAAAATACTTTAAGCTTTTTTTTCGTCATGGATTTTTTTAGTTTGATAATTTATAAGTGATAGCTTACAAGTGACTTCTTTCAATAAAAATACGGAACACTAATAACTTGTAAGTCATAAAAAGTTGCAAGTACAGAAAATTAAGAAGTTATAATTTAAGAATAAATGTAAATAAGATAATCTTATTTTTATTTAATTTTAATTAATTTTTACTTTAACGGAACATTAATATGTCAGAGTTATTAAATAGTTTTGATCGAATTAAGCAATTTGCTTGCATCTACAATATAATATTGTATTCATTACGTTTTCTCAATTGTGTCGCAACGATGGTTGAATAATAATTTTATTCGCTCACTTCTTAATAGATTAGAAAATCGCGATCAGGAACCTTCAAAAAAATATTGATCCATCCAATGTAAGGTTCCTATGTAAAAAGCATCTATTTGGCCCCGTTTTCTTCGACTTTGACGGAAAACCCGCGGGTTCCACGCCGCAAAGTTTATTTTGCCTGCCGTTCCGTTTTCTTTTCGCAAGAAAGAAAAAGAAAGACGAAGAGCGAAAGAACCTCAGAAAGTTTCGGCGGCAGAAGATAGGACGGTCCAAGAAGTGCTCTCAGCGTGGAAACGAGAAAAATCACGGAAAGCGCGCGAGCGTGCGCGAGCAGTGCGCCGCATCTCAAGGATTTCTCGGGTTAAAGTCACCAAAATCTTGTCCGGGCAAACGAAATTAGGAACACGATGAACTGGTCCTTTGCGAAAATTCAGCTCCGAGTAGAAGGAAAGCTGAGACTAGTCTTGTTAAAATCCGATAAAAATTTCTCGCGAATACGTTGGACGCTTCGTCGAAACGTTGAAACACGCGACAAGTTTTTTCTCTTTACTTTTCTCTCTCTTTCTTGCAAAATGAATCAATTAATTGAATAATCGTAATCATTTGGAGAAAACTGTATATAATGTATAAAAGATAGATATGCATTAGTTTTTTTGCGATTAAAAGTTTTAAAATTGAAGTTGAGTGACTTATATAAAAATCGATAAAGTAATAATACTTTTCTCAAATCACATTATAAAAAATATAAAAATTTCATAAATGATTCTATTATTACATCTAAGTAATATGTGTAAAGTTTCAACACAATTCTCTTATATTTAAACGTTATTTAACTTTTTGTTTGCTTTAATTCTTATCACAAAGCAAAATCATGTTTTGTAGTACTTATCTGCAAATTTAATACGAAACTAGCATCAGGAATTAAATAAAATTTTTTATATTTATTAATAAAACTCTAACAAAAATTTTTGTGCGAACGTTTATTTAAAGCCACTTACTCGTTTAAAAGTTGTTTACCCAAAACTGCAGAAAAATATGGTTATTGCGCAATGTGCAGCATAAGCCAGCCAAATTTGCAATTAGTTAGGACATATTTACAACCAAAATTTTTTCGCTGAAATTAGCTAATATTGGCTTTTTTGACTAATTTTTTTGACTGATATACTTTTAGCAGATATTTTACAATCAAAACATCCTTAATGCTATTGAAAGTTATGTGCCGTTATATTTTCATATTACATTTATATTACAAATTTCAGTTAATACTTTATTCAGTTAATACTCTATTTTCTCACAAGAATTTAATTTCACACTGAATTATAATTTTTAATTTTATATATTCTTTTTGTATTTTCAATTCTAACATTGAGAATGATCCAATGCGGATCGAAACGTTTGTTATGTTATTGCCGGCATTTAGATTAAAGTTATTGTATGTTTATTTTATTTTTATTTTTATTTTTTAATTTTGACTATGTGTATTAACCTTGGCTCGTAGCTCTATTACCCATTTATATTAAATTTCTTGAGCCTTATTACCATTATACATATAATTTCACACTATTTAATAAGCTCGTCAAGATTAAAATTTCGTTTTTGCTCTTCTAAGTAGAAATAAGAATTTTTCACGACATAACAGCTTCGATATGACAGATAATTTTCTCACATTGTACAGGTAGGGTCGTTATTTTATGTTACGGAAAAATTGCAGGAGTTACGGAAGTATTTTATACGAAGTCATGAAGCTCATAAGAAAATGTAAAAAATAAAGAGTTAATGAGATATGATTGTATATTGAAATAATAGTAACGTTATTATGACATATGACATCTGATACATTCACGTATAAACGTTTTTCAATACCATGGAAGTAATTAATTCTGTCATTAAGGGCTGGATTTTCAAAGAAACTGTCATATTTTTTAACACCAGAAGATACATAAATTCAACTGAAATATTAATCATAAAACTGTCCAATAAGGATTTTCAATTGGCTCTGCATTAGTTTTATGCGACTACATCGGAATAAATAATTAATATATGAAGACTTTATCAGCGAGCGATGGCTTTGTGAAAATTGTTTTTAATTCAAAGCGATCATATACAAATGGCGTCCATTAACGCGAAATCGGATGGCCTGGTAATCATGCAACTATCCGTGCACGGTATATTGCCCGTTCTTTGTACACGACGAGACGCTTTGTCAGTTTTGCAAATTAAAAATATTCAGTGAACGGTCGCGTAAAAAGGAAAACAATCGGCGTGCTTGTTTTCAACATTAACGAGATAATTCTTTCTCATCCGCCTTTGCAAAGGCCGTGTCCAGGTTACGAGTCCCGCCATTCTCTACGTCTCCCTTTTCTCCCTGAGCGGAGGGAGATTGCTTCTGGCACCCTGCTCGGAATAACAAATATAAACCGACGATTTGCAACCGCTGACGTAAAAGGGACCGATCCCCCGCGGCCGCCGCATACATATATCCCGAAATACAATTTATAGATCCTATTATATATACATGTATCGTATAAGGGATGCTTGTATACGTATATCAAGTTTAGAAACGATAAAAAAAAATTAAAAGGGGAAAAAGAGATACAATCTTCATTGAGCAATTATCCTATGAATAAATAGGTAGCTCCAATAATAATATTTTTATAATAAATAGAAAGAAAGATTATCATTTTTGAGATTCTAAGGCCCGTATCAGACTACACAGAAAAAATTTTTATTGAAATAAAAATTTAGCTAGTTACAGATCTAAAAATTAATTTTATTGGATTATTAAAATAATTATGAACGTTAATTGTTAATTTAGTTACTAGAATATTAAAACTATTTCCTACTATTTATCCTACTACTTATTCCTATCACTTATCATGCTTGAATTTCATACATAATTATTTTTATATTCTTTAACAAAGTTAATTTCAGATCTATGTATGGTACTTATCTAAAGTTTTAGATAATTCTGCAAAATTCTTGTTTCCATGTAGACATTGAGATTGAAATTGAGATTGAATTTGACCAATCAAAGCAAAGATCACTAAACTTGATATTGGTTTTCTTTCTTCTAATTGGTTAAATTCGATCTGAATCTTAATCTCTAGTCTGATACGGACATTAGAGTAAACAATTTCGCGCGCAGCACCGACAGCCAATTGGATTCACATGAAAAAGTCAAACGCGTCAACAAGAATCTCGTGCTTGTCTCTTACGAGTCATTCGTTCGTCATTGTTGTGATGTTATAAATGTGCAGAATCAAACGGATTTCAATTCGGTAAGAAGAACAAATTAATATTGATATCGGCGTAGTGAAGATTAATAAAGCTGCTAATTCTGTCAAGTCGGCTGGATAGTACCATAGCACTATAGCTACAATATCGAACTTTTCTTCAATATCTCTTTTTTCGTGAAAACTTTGATGTTATTTGTTACAGTTTTTAGTACAATAAAATCGCCGACGTGTCAACATTGCGGTTCATTCCACTGAGTTAGAACCCGAGTCCTTTTTCTCGAGACTCGCCGACGCTAGCAGTTATCATTTATATAATAACTGTCATGTATTATTTCTAGTTTCGTAACATTTTATTCCTGCGATTTTATGTCACTTCTTGTATTATAGGTTAACGATTTAACGCAAGTGTATTTCACGTTTTAACGATTGACAGACTCATTGCTTTCTAGGAAATGCAGTTATTATACGGTTTCATGATATTAATTGAGAGCTATTTATGCAGAGAAATCTTATAAGATTATTCCGCGTTATCAAATTATTGGATCGTTGATTTGTGTGAAATTCAATCGAAACATAATTTACCAAACATGTTGAACGATATTTAAAGTCCTTTCAGTTGACATGACCTTGTTAATTAGCTAAAGTAAACGTAAATATCATGTGCCTGCTTTCGCGCAATCTTATTCCGCTTGTATTATTCAAACGTTTAAAATTTAAAAATTTTAAGTATTTACATTTTTTATCATTCTCCTAATTACTGAACATCTTCATTTTAATAAGAAATTTATTGTAAAAATGTTGAATTCTTTTTTTTCTTCTTTAATTATTCTTTAATTATATTCTGCTACTATTTCTTGTCGTTTCTTATTCTATATAATAAATATTTCTTTCAGTTCACTTCTAAAAATTCTCTTTCCTGTTACCTCTTATTTCGCATTAGGTCTGAGTTATTGAACAAGTATATCTAATTCATATATTTAACGATTATAGGTTGATTTCCGACAGACGATACAGCATTGTGACTCTGGCAACGAATAATTTCATAAAAGACAAACGATCTTTTGTTAATTATTTAAAATCAAGACGTAAAGAGGTCTAAAATAGGCACGTAGATAAGTTTTACATCGTAATATTTGTATATTACGATGGAAATATTAAGGATCATCATTTTCACAATTTTATTAGGTAAGATAACTAATATCATGGTGTTTTATATATATATAACAAGATAATAATGAATATATAATTAGCAATTAATTTATTATGATTAAAAATTGTTTTTTAATTAATTTATTATATTAAAAATGAACTTTTATGAGACTTGAGAGAATAAAATTAATTCTTCGATTATATTCTAATATAAAGAGATATTTTTATCAATAAATTATCAATTATGTTCTTTAGTTTCTGTGACTGCATACGTGCTAGCAAATAAAAATGCGAAATACAAAACATGGAATAAAAACGAATATATAAAATACAACGGAAAGCACAAAAATTACACTGAAAGCAACAAATCAAGAGTTTATATAAAAGACACTATAATGAGACGATCTCATCAAACGGATCCCTTACTACATCTATCATTGACTGAAGGCACTTGGCAATTAATCTTTTTGATAATAATAAGCATGTTGATATTCTCATATTTGCCAATTTATCTCAAGTAAATAACGACTTCTCTTCATATTTATGTTTATATACTATTAATTTTATGATCAATTAGATTTATATGTAAGAGTGATTTATAATACGATATATCAAAGACTCCACTAAAGAAAGAATTTAAGACACGGAATATAATAATGTTAAATATTTGTTGTTTCAGCTTATTATCAAATAATTAAATAATTATTGTAACAAAAATAAATAAATAAAAAATAATTATAATAAAGTTAATAGCATTCATTTAATTCAGGCTAAACTATTATTAATATTGAAAAAGTATTTATTTCCAAATAACTAGAACATATATTAATTATGTTAAAAAATTTTTGTTTGAACAGAATGAGGACGAAATTTTGGTCTGTTTTTGCAAACTGGTCTTTTGTTACTTTGGAGGATTATTTCTCCTTCTGTAGACCCCTAATCGCAGCTGTGACTCGCAATTCAAGGGACAATATGTATCAAGAAGTGTATCAAGCATATAATGTGAGTAAAATGTATAGTATGTGCTACACAAAGTATATATCATCACCCACAGAAGAATTAGTTAATGATAGATATTTGTATATTATAAATATATGTTAAGTGTGAATATAAATGTGTATACATATACCTTTTATACAAACATGTCTGCATATATCAAACAAAATTATTATATTATGAATATATATTTTAGAATAATAATTTTTTTTAAATATGCAGATGATATTTTCTTGTGTGTATCTTATTAATCGTGCTTATCTTATTTTTTAAATATAAATTAATATTATCAAAATTTTTTAGCTGCCAGTGGGATTCGTTTAAATAAAGCATTTTAGATAATCGATGCTATTGCAAGCTGATAAAAAGTGACATGGATGATACCTATTACTAAATATATTAACTTTGTCAACTTCGTGCAATACCAAAGATTTTAATGTGCTACAAATAAAATATAAGTAAACTAAAAATATATATCAATGACTGATCAGATAATCTTAGTAATAAATATTTTTAGTATTTTTAATTTATGTATTTTTAATTTAAACCTTATTTATTTCCAGCTTAATTAAAACAAAATAAAAATTAGTTCTTTAAACTTATTCCTATTCTAACTTATTTGAATACAAATTATTTATTAACTACTTACCTAAATCATCATAAAACAATTTTTATCTCCAAAATGAACTCTATTAAGGATTATTAATAGATTGAAAAATCGAATTTATGTTTCAAAAATAATGATTCTATGCGTATTGATATATATTTCTAATTGCATTATATTATAATTATATTAACTATAAATCTAAAATTTGTGTAAGTACGCATAATTTTAGTATTTTGGTTTAAATATAGATTAATACATAAATATAGCAGTTTGTGTGTACATATTACGGATATGCTGGACTTTTTTAAATCTCTGGCAAACATTTTTTAATATAAGTTATATTTTTTATAAATCATATTTTTTATGAACTATTTTGTACATTAAAATCGACAATTATATACTACATTTTTGTATTGTTTATGTTCTTAATGTTTATTGTCTGTTTTAAATGAATACAATATAGAAATATAGGAATAAATGTTATAAATTTTATAAATAACTAATTTATTTTTCAAAAATAACTTCTTTTTTAGAAAAAATATTGAAGAACAATTTTCAAGTTGTAAATGATTAAAAAAGAAGAGTCTTTTGATAGCTAACCCTCGGAATATTAAACAGATAAGATAAAATCATATCATATAATTTCATATCATACATTTAATTTCAAGTGAAATTTGTCAACTTGAAATGTAGTCACAAAGAGAGAACACAAAATCTATAACGTACAAAATTAGAAAGTGTGTTTTATAATAAATGAAGGCTTTTTTTCTTAAATGTGTGTTTTATAATAAATGAAGGATATTTTTGTTAAATCGACTTAAATTAGCTTTTAAAGAATTTCTCGAAGAATTTAAAGAGAAGTTTAAAAAGACCTCCGAGATATATTATATAGTTGTGAATTAAGAGGCATGTCTTCACATCAAGCGAAATACGGTAAAGTCAACCGCGTATATTTACGTCATGCGATTGGTTATCAAATGCAGACACGGTTATTTATATACCGCAATAACGGAATAAGTTTGAACTTTAATTTAATGCAAAAGATTTCTCAAATCAAACTTTATTTTGTACAAAATCCTTTTGCTTTAAATATTTTATTTACGCGAAGTTATATTATAATATTGAGAATATAGAACAAAGTATTTCCTTATATGTATAAAATAAAATATATATCTTGCACTTTAGTTGTACAACTTTTTATATCAAATGTAGTATGAGAGAAATTATACTCCACGCGTGGTATGTATAATTTTTCATTCCTAAAATCAGCATAAATTTCTTATATCATTACTTTTGTACAGAACAAAAAATTTAAATAAGAGATAATTATATAAAATATCTCCCTCTTATTGAAATAATAAAGTAACATTTCTATGTACAATAGTTTCTCTCACGTACTGATTTTCTCATTTTTACCTTTTCTGTTTGAAAAGTTCGATGTAACGCTGAAACCTGTCGATCAGTCGCACATCCGCGCTGCGTCATGGAACGAGATTGCATTGGTCCCAATTGGTCCCGGCTTTGAACGTTATTCCCGATTCGTCCTTTGAGCCGGTTGACGTCTGAAATCGTATCATGCAACGCAGGCAGAATGCGGCGCGCACCCGAAACGTTGCAGAATCGGTTTAACCTCCCTGTCGGGAGGGCGCGATTGCTCTCGAAAAAAAAGAGACACTTTGCCGAGTAGCCAGGCGGCTCTGATAGTGGCAGTGCTCGTTATTCGTGGTGAAATTACTCGTACCACTCAGCAAGATTGAAGGAGAGATCTTTGATACCGCGATTCCACCCTCATCTGAACGCGCTGTTTCGCGTCTGTCGCGCGACTAGATGAGCAAAGCGAATCTTTTTGATGTGCGGCATGGCGCGTACGTTGCAATCCCAGCCGCATTTGCATAGCACCAACCGACGAATGAAATTTTCATCGCTGATTTACGAGATCAAAAGTATCTTCTATAATGATATGTGTGCGTGCACCGGTATAACATTTCTCGTAAGATATCGTACGGAATGTACAAGTAAAACACAGGTAAAACATATTTCTCTTTTATATACTGTATGTAGGTGAAAATAAGTGATCTTAACTCTAGAATCGATATGTAAATTTTATGTATAAGAGAGTGAGATTGGTTGAACGCAAAGTTATACTTTCATTGGTTATTAGGAGATTTAATCTGTCATGCTAAAAACTAGAACAAGCGGAAAAATCATCTAGAAATTCTATCCGTTATATTACACATATATTAACTTTTGGACTTCTTGGTAATCGATATTATAATAGAAAGCATAACAAAACTAATTTCAGTTTTTAAGCAATTTGTATTATTTTATGTTATATATTTTATTTAGCCCTTAAGTATAATAGACATACTGACAAACTATACATAGCGATTGAAGTGACTCTGGAGCTTTCCTCCGCCGAGAGGGCTAACCACTGGATCGTTCAATTCATCTTTTACTTGTGGTATTGTGATCCCTTTTAAGCGAGTTGGAAGTCCATTCAAGGGATAAAAAAAAGGAAAAAATGGCTATAACTCTATGTGTGTGCCTACTTAAGTATATGAAAAGACATACGCGCAATTATACTACATATCACTTTGTCGTTAAAAATGTGGAATGTATGAGAAAAACTCATTTACATTAATTAAGAGTACACCCAGAGAAAGGTTTCTTCGATTTAAAGAAATGTTTTTTGCTATACGGTTAAAGAAAACATTTCTTTGATTTGAACATCATTTCTTTGATTTGAACATAATTTTTTTCGTTAAGGTATAACTGTAATTTTTTTTATTACATGAAGAAACTGTTTTCATTTAAGAAAATTTTTTTTGTTATATATAAAAAATATATTTCTTTCATTTAAAAAGAGTCAAAAAATTATAAAAACTGTTTTTTTAATTCTAATAGAAAAGGAACAACAAAAAACTTCTTCAAATCAAAGAAATCGAGTCGATGTCGATCCTAATATTATTTCTTAATTCTTAATGTGCCATGTATACGCCAGGTTAGTCGCCTGGCGGCGTCTGGTCAGTCCGTTGGTAACGGTACGTCAGTCGCTCGCCAGGGCCACTAGACAAAACGTGACGTTGCTGGCGCGGCGTTTGCAAATTTGCCATGTTAGTTCCTGGTATGGCAGCATGGCATCCATGCAAGAGTCATACTAGCTCCTTATCTAAATTTCTATCAGGGTACTTATTTTTAATTTTTGAATATTGAGAATAACATGAAATTTTTACATATAAATATGTCTTAGAAATGTTACACAATTTCTAAAGTTTAGTTTTACCAAAGAAACTCCACAATACGTCTGTTATTCGATAATCGTATAACATTTCAAGTTTTTCTCTCACGTTGAAACGTGAAACTAAAATGATAGTTCGTTTAGTCAAGCGATACTAGTAAAATTTTACTGGTAAATTCATAAATTCCTTCACACATAGAAAAATCAATTGGAATAGATGTATAACGGAAAATAAATTTTCGACATAAACGCAAAATGAAATCCGTTGACTACGGTTTTTTTTTAAGGATAAGACTATTTAAAATCGCTGTAAAAGAGTTAAAACGGATGGTTTTATAAAAAGACTAAATACCGGGTATTATTTCAGATATCTCTGGATATTTCGAAACATAAAGGGCAGGCGGGAGAGATAAGTGCGGCATCGTTATCATTCCGCTTGTAGTCGCGGTTTGCTCGCGGCAAAATCGGTAACGCTATCACGTACGGGAGCATTCCTGATTCCGGCGGCCACGGTGGTTTCACGTCATATCCAGATGAAAATTGGGAAATGTTCCTAATTTTCGTCGGCGCAGCCGCGTGCAACATTTCATCGCCAACGCTGGACTGATGCTTACAACGATACATACCATTGCGAGCTGATTGTACACGTTTCGCATTATCGCGCGATCATTGGGGAATAACGTTTGCCCTGTGCTCGTTGGTAGCTGATAATCGCGTCCCGCGAGACTGGCGAGAGCGAATTGTGAGAAAGAATATCAAGTGATGAGATATAATTGCGACAAATATTTAATTTTACTAAAGAGGTAATTACCTCGTGGTTTAAATTTAATTGTTTGCCCGTAAATTTCTACATCACATTCATATTATTATGAATGCGAATATGCATATATGTCAAGTGAACTTTAGGGAATTATTATGAAACGATAAAAAGCTGAAAAAATAAAATATAATGACGCTTAATTTTATATGTAGAGTGAGGGAATTATAGAATATTTTATTTTATTGAAAAATAATATACACAGTAGATATTCATGTGACACATATCTACTTTTGGTACAAATTTGTTAGCCATAGAGTGATAATTATGCTTTAGGAAGAAATTTTTCAGGTATATAGAACAAATGAATTTACAAAAAATAGAAAAAAACGAAAATAAAAGGAAAAAGATTATGGTTGTAGAATAGAAAGGGTATATGGAATTACTAGTATACAGTATATATAACTTTGTATGTAAAATACATGCGCGCACACATTTCGTTACCAAATTTAGTTCAATCATTTGAAAGTCACTTAAAGTCTCCAAGTTAGACTGAAGTTACAAATTGATATTAACATACTTCTCAAAATTACGTGAAGAGTACACAGTTATAATTATATTACTGTTTGTTATCTGCAAAATTACTGCAGCTTTACAGTAACGCAGTATATACAATAACTAATGATTATATTATATAAGTATATATAGACGAAGAATTTTGA